TGCAGTGGAACTAAGCCCATGTGCCACAACTACCGAGACTGCATGCTCTGGAGCCTGTGTGCCACAACTAGAGAGAAGCCTGCACGCTGTAACTAGAGAAGCCCGTGCACTGCAACAAAAGATCCCACATGCCGCAATGAAGATCCCACGTGCTGCAACTAAGACTCGACACAGCCAAATAAGTAAATATTTTTAAAATACTTGCTAAAAAAAAGGATATGGGGTTTAAGTGAATACTGTAATGTTTCTACTTTTAATATCACTGCAAACATACAAGAACAAACAACTTATGAAATCATTCTCAAAGGTTTAATTAAAATCCATATAGCATTTAACATGTATAGATGTTTAAACTCTTTCAGTGATTCATATATTTTAAAATCCTTTTGCACATTTTGAGCTAACTTCATGCTAGAAATCTACAAATGTACAGCTTAACACAAAAATACATTCGGAGTCCATTCCAATGCAAGTTTAAAACACTTTAATTGCAGACAATGTAAAGATATTTAAAAACCAAAAACTACAAATTGAGCACATAAAAGTCTTCCCTTTTGAACTTTTAATAAAATACTGCTCTGTATAAGATCTAATGAAAAATTCCGGTTACTTATAAAATACCTATGTGAGGAAAGAAAGGAATTAAGATATATGAGTTATACTTACTTACATTGTTTAAAAGAACAAAACGTTGGAACACTTTGATGATATAGTACACTATCTATTACTTATATATCAAAATAGATGAAAACACTCAAAGAAGCAACTGGGTGCAGGCAAAAGAAAATGTACGACACTTCAGGCAAAAAAAAGCCCCCAAGCTCCAAAACAAACAAAAAAGTCCTTTAACTGTAAGGGGAAGAAAGGAATAAGAGAACTTAAAGCAAACTGAGGACCAAATTCTCATTCTTAATACTTTATGAGAAAACAGTATGAGGATTTGGCTCAAATTACTAAAACATCTACAGAAATTTAATTATTTGGCCTGGGCAATTTAATAGTATACCAATTGCTGAAATAATAGCAATAGGTGTACTGTTGAAAAAAAATTAATTTTTACAGGTTTAACTATGTAAAACTTTATCTGTTGGAAACCAGAGTCTCCATCATGAATTGCACTTGAGATGGCTGAATGCGATTGAGCAAGGCATTACTGCTGGTTCACTCTCTCTCTCTCTCTCTCACACACACACACACACACACACAAAGCAGCTATGGACTGGTGATATTCGTAACTAAGAAAACTATTTTATACCTGTTTTTTCTCTCCCTCTAAACAAAGGATCAGTGGTGTTGGAGTTAAGTCAGTGAAACTTCCGCCTGCCCCCATTCTGTCTGTCTCGCCGCTGTCTCATACTGCTCCCTGGCAGAAGATGGAGTGGTCTGATGGAAATTTGAACCAGCTCTGTCTGAAACACATTCATTTCTGGAATTTTAAGCATTATCCTAACTAGGAAAGGAAGCTCCTGCAAAAAAACACTGTTTCACTGACAAAACTTATGAAATAAGAACACTGCCAGTTTGAGCTCTATCACTGTCTCTAAAAAAAATAAGGGAATTTCTGTGATTCATTTCTTTTTAAAGGTTGAGAATGTCTGTCATGGTCATTTCTCGCCAATAAATTCATTCTCCTCCACAGTAAAAACACAATTTGGAAGCAAGATGGTACTAAGAAATATAGCAAACTCAAAAAGCTGGGCGATTGTACACAGTTGCTTTAAAAAAGAGGCTCTGGGGGCTTCCCTGGTGGCGCAGTGGTTGAGAGTCCGCCTGCCGATGCAGGGAACATGGGTTCGTGACCCGGTGCGGGAAGATCCCACGTGCCGCAGAGTGGCTGGGCCCGTGAGCCATGGCCGCTGAGCCTGCGCGTCCGGAGCCTGTGCTCCGCAACGGGAGAGGCCACAACAGGGAGAGGCCCGCGTACCGCAAACCACCCCCACCACAAAAAAACCCAAAAAACAAAAAAGAGGCTCTGGACAATGAGATGAAGCATATTACAATGAACTTCAAAGGACAACTGGACAGTCCTAGCTCTCTTAAAGGTAAAAATTAGACAACCACTATGAAAATGTATGATTTATTAATACAAATAAAACAGATGATTTAAAAGTGAGTGAATACTAATATGTATAAAATAGATAACTAATAAGAACCTGCTGTATAGCACAGGGAACTTCACTTTGCTGTACAGTAGAAACTAACACAACGTTGTAAAACAACTATACTCCAATTAAAAAAAAAAAAAGAGTGAATAAAAAAGTACCTGCACCTTATCTATTTCCTTGAGCTAGAAAGATATAGTCTAAAAATGCAGTGTTGGATAGGTCTTATTTAACTGTTTCCTTCTTCCAACTGCCTCCCTCTCTGACCCCTCCCCCCAAAACCTAGATTAGTTTGAAAAGTATCAGTCTGAAACCAAAGCAAGTACCTGATTATAGAAAAGGAAATAGAAAACAAAAAACCTGCATCAGGAGCTTTTCATCTCTCCCACCAACAGGAAAAAAAAGATCTTATGTTTTTAGTTCTAAAAGAACTACTTATCCCTCTGAACAGCAAGGAAAGTCTTAAACTGAAACCAAGATACACACAGAGGTGAAATTAATTTTTCAGGCAACTGAGTCTCAGACATTTAAGACGTGAGTCTACATGATGTTTCAGTCAATGAATATAGTCTATCTGTAAAATTATAAGCTCAGGTAATGTAGGAAATGGTGAAAAGGAACAATGAGACTGAAGGACCAATCTTCAAAATTCACTTAATTTGCTCAAAAGAAAAAAAAGAAAAAAAACTTTATTTAACAAGGATATTTAGAAATAATGTTTCAGCGAGGAGAAGAAGGTTTAAATAGATTTAACTGCTCTTATTACGTGGAAACATGAAGCATTTTGGGGAATCTGCTCCTCTGTGCCCTGTACAGCCCATGGTTTCCACAGAAAGGCCACAACAGATTCAACAGTTGAATGGGCGTATTTCTAAACTTTGGGGTATTCTGAGTCTGCACCATCCAAAAAAGGAAAAACTGTAAGTTTCCCAGTCTATTAGTGGATCTAGTCTCCTCAAGATTGTCATGAGATTAAAAACAGTCTCTGCCTCTTACATCCTCCCCAGACAGGGCACATCTACTGCTCTCAGGCCCACATTTAGAATAGGTGTACAAGGTGAAGAGAATATAGATGAATGCCTGGCACTATCTAGTCATTATGGAGCTCTCTCCCATTTTAATCTCTCTTTAGTCTTGACTTTTGGAATAATACATTTTTTAAAAAGAGAAGAAAGAATGAAAAGAAAACACTTTTACTGCCTATCCACCTAGAATTGTCAGCTTGCTTTGCTTGAATACTGAGGAAACATCCTTATATGGGTTCAGTGGCACTGTGCTTACCGAAATTTCTCTTTGGAGTTTTCAGAAGACAGCACGTGCTCCTTCTTCTGGGCTTTAAAAAAGATGTGGGCTGTACATTGTTTATAGAGTGGTCACAGGGCAATGATGAGTGAGGCAATTCTTGAATGCTGGAGTTTGTAAAGTTACATAAGGTGAAAAATATTATACACTTTAAAGTAGTAAGAGGTTGACATAATCTTATCGTCACAATTTAACTTTTTTGTATTGTATGCCCCAAATAGATGTTCCCTTAAAAAGAAAAAAAAGTTTGTGAGGCAATAAGGACAAATGCTGAGAATTACTTGAGCCTCATTACTCAAGATCCCATTACAGAGAAACAAATATTCCCCAAAAAAGAAATTCTGGGAACCAATGAACATCTGAATCTAGGAAAAGTAATAGAAAATAAAATCACAGAAACTCACATGACTGTGATAAATGACAGATAATGAACATTTATCTCTTACACTAAAGGCACGACTAATATACAAATATCCTATTAACATTTAGAGAAACTCTAACATTTAGCAGTTAGAGAAAGAAATCGACTTAATTCAATACTAGCATTTTTAAAAACAAACAAAGATTCATGGCAGAGTTTTCAATGAGCCAAATGAAACTAAATATAATAATAAGCAGTTCCGTACAAAGACTGTTGTTCCTACTTTTAAAAAAGTATGATAACTTACTTCCTTAAAAATACAAGCATATCACAAAAATGAAAGCACAAACATATATATAAAAACTCAGGCCCTGGTACCACTGAGACATTTTCATAAACTCTAAAATAATTTCAACAGCTACAGCTTGAACAATACACACCCACACGTGACATGCAAAGACAAAATGCCAGAGTCCCTGGGCAGTTCAGCATAAAGCTAAAAATATGGAACAAGAATGAGATGGGCACTTGTCATATAAATAATGTACAGCATACACTGATGGTGCCTGTGCACACCTTGGAATTTTTCAAAAATTTAGAATCTCATCAGTTCCAGGAAGCACTACACATGGACCAACAACGGAGCTCTCATGTATGTTTAAGTAAGCAGGTAAAAAGCTATACAAATTGATAACACAATTTATTTTAATTAACATGATTAATATTTTGTACTTTATTCTATTAGAAGATCAATTTGTAATCATTATACCCTGTAGATTTTGAAACTTAATTTTATTAGAAATTACTAATGCTGGTTCTTGAATAATCTAAAAAATTATAATTATTTACTCAAATCTAGATTGTTATTTATAATTCTAAGCAGTTAAATGAAATATTCTGATCAGTATTCTGAAGTTGCTTTGGTACAAAATTGAGAATAAAGCAAAACTGGCAGCAGCACCACAAGTGTGATCACTTCACAGCAGGTCCAAAGGACCCTCCGATATAATAAAACGTAAGTTAAAATACCTATAAATAAGAGCCATTCTCCTGACACTTCTGTTACATCATTAAAAAGAGAAATAAAATCCACATTCAGTAAATTATACTTGAGGCCCAATTTTCATGCTCCATTTAATTATCCCTCAATGATAGTGTAAAATATGTTTATAATTATTGCAATATGATGTCTAATTCATAGTTTAGGATGCTTCTAATGATGAGGCCAATGATTAGAGTGGTACATCTGAATGCTTAGTCCGTTGATACTATTTTAACACAAGGTTGAATTTAGTCTTTTTTTTACAGCTTTACTGAGGTATAATTGATGTAAAACAAATTGCACATACTTAAGATGCACAATTTGATGTATAGTCTTTTAAATAGCATGAAAAGTGCCTGACAACTAAAAATTTAAAAAATTTTAATTGAAATATATTGTTTTAAAATAGTACACTGTAATTTTTTATGAGACACAGATATGGATTTATAAAAAGGTGGGAGGAAAGGAATGAAATTAATTTAATTCCAAGTACCAAATTTATTCAGAAGGTTTAGAAACTCCAAAATTGACAGCCAGTTTTCTTGATTTTCTTCTTGAGGAGCTTGGTGTTGACTTATGGTGAGACATACTATGGCCTGGGGAGGCAGCTTCAACTTGAAAAGGAGATGCAAGTTGAGTAATCTGAGGGGACTTTAAGGAAGCTGATAAACTCTCCTGTGGAATCACTTTGGTGACATCAGAAGATGCTGACTGGCTAGTCTGAAGTAGGGTGGCTTGACAACTCTGGGCATCCTTGTTCTCAAAATTCTTTTTGTTTGCAACCCTTTTTTTAGTTACCTTTGAGGAATAAAAGCATCATTAATTAACAATGTACACCAAAAAAGCTAGTGTCAGAAAATACCATAAACCATGCTGCTAATACTTGTCAATCACTGCTGACTTGTGACTTCCACTTATAACCTCCAAACCAGACTTTAGAAATTCAAGGAATATGGTTACAAATAAAATATTTAAAAATTATCCATAACTTAAATATAAAGAAAATTGATATTCCTGATTTTAAATCCCTTTGTTCTAGAAAAGGATGTTATTACTTGTTGCAATTATTATTATCTATTAGAACACAAACTCAGATGGCAGGGAACAGGTCAGACTGGTCACCACTGGTCAAAATATATTCTCAGTACCCAGACTAGTACTGAATGGAATTCTAGTTGGCACTGAATAATTACTGAATAAACAAAATTTTATCAATGGTCTTTGAGCAGTGAGAAACTAATTCTGTTAAAAAAATATAATAATTCTCTTTCAGGTCTCACCTGTAGAGGTATGAACTGATTGTGCACACCAGCTGGCATTCCTCCAGCCATGGGCATGGTCCCAGCATATGAAGTATGATGGAAGGGCTTCCCAGGAACTGGCACTGGTGGTGCCCATGGCATTGAGCCATAGAGATGAGATGATGAGGGCATTATATTAGCTGTTAAAAATTATGGAAAAGCTGTTTTAGTAAAATGGTATCACAAAAGCCTTGAAATTTAAGACCTCCTTCTGCTACCCTTTTTTGGCTTTTTTCGCTTTGGCAAAGGGCATATACACTTAATTTCTGATTACCCTTGCTTACAACGTTCAACCTCAGGAGCCCCTTAAGGACTATGAATCATCTAGAGAAGTCAGCTTATCATTATGCTGTCCGGCCTACGAAGGCCAACAGTACCATATACTGATATAAGCTTTAGGAATATTTGTAATAATATTTTAAAAAATAATAAAAGGGTCATGAAACTGTCCCTTGGGGGAGAAAAGCCAGGGCACAAAGAGAGAAATCTTAAGAATCTCACCTGCCCCCAATGCTAAGTTGCTTCCATAGTGATCCCAGCCTACAAAAAAACCAAAAAAGCTCAAGTCTTGAAATCTGATCACTTTCATATAACATGTAGAATCTTTCTCCCTATTCTAATATTTGTAATTTAAAAAAAAATTTATATTTTCTTATTAAAAGCACATTGAATCAGTGGTTCCCAAGACTGATTTGTGTATCTGAGTCACATAGGGAGCTTAAGAAATACAGATTCCTGGGCAAGGCTCCAGACCTAGTACATCAGACTCTGAGGGGCCCAGTAATCTGTATTGTTAATAAGCTCCACAGGTGATTTTTTTTTTCTTGATTTTGATTTTTGATTTTTTTAAATTTTTTAACATCTTTATTGGGGTATAATTGCTTTACAATGGTTCCACAGGTGATTCTTCCACAGTCAGCACCAGTGCAACATTTGGGAACTACTGCATTAAATAATGACAATCGAGACACCAGCACATTGCCACCAAAGAAGGTATGTACTGTGCTCAAACCTTCTTTTTAAAGAGATAAAAAGGCAGCCAGAATTATAAGACAGTATCGCTTACCTAAAACTCAGCTACTTAAAAAATGTTTGGATCAGGAGAGAAGAATCATAATATATTTCAATGTTATGAATTACACATGTAAAAATTCCAGGATAAAGAACAGTTTTAATATGAAACACACTAGTAAAATTATGTGCAAGAAAATTATTAGAAAATTATGTGCAAGTATGGTGGCAGTTATAAGACTAAGAAGATCTATTTAAAAGATGCTATAGTAATCTTATGCATAGGCCAATTCAACCATTTCCCAAAATCACTGTCCTAAATATAAAATATATTTTTCGCCATTGGGACCCTTTCATACCATAAAGTGGAAATCTATAAAATAACTTTAAAATCTTAATCTGATGCGTAAGTTGTTTTCTCCTGATTAACATTCAAATCTCATGGCTTTTATATCATATATTATTATTGGAACACTGGAGAGCACAAAACCAAAAGAACTCCAATTAAACTTTAAAATTCTTGGTAGGTATGAATACACTAATAAACATGATATAATAATGAACGTAAACATAATAATCGACATTAAAAAGGTAGAATATCAAGCTATAAAATATCGATAATAAATAGGAAAACAATCATTCCTTTTAGATAATATATTCTCATAAGACAAATCCTTTTTGAGAGAAGCTTGTGGGTAGAGTTTTAGGTAACCTGCGTGAACTAATTACTTAAAATTAATTGATATATAGTTGCTGGATTCATTTTTGAAAGTGAAAAAGCAGTTAAATTAGATTTTCCAGGTTATAGTGGACTTACTACCTTGAGCTATATGAAAACTTCATATCCACTGTGTCATAAAAATTTTATGACTACACATTGTTTATACAGGCAAAGGAATGCCAGTGTAGTACAGTAACAAAATTGTGGGCTTTGTAATTAGAAATATTTGCTTTTGAATGCTACTACTGCTACTTAGTAACTTATGACCTTAGACAAATTGCATTTTTAAACAAATCAAAGTAAAGATAACTATACACATACATATCGTAATAAAAAGGGTTTTCAACATAATATAGCAGTCATCCGGTCCATGCCAGGTTTAACTGTTTTAGCTGTTTATTTCCAAACTGTTCAATAATTTGCTTATACTGCTAGATGATTTTTCAATTTTAGGCATTTTTAGACTTCCTGTTATGATAGATCAAAATTCAGTTCTTTCATACCACCCTTCACTACTTACCCTGTCCTCCCATGTAAGTATATTCCAATGTTTGTTTAAAATTATAAAGTGTTTATGATATGTGACTGTATAAATATTATTACTGCAAAGCCAAGTAGGGTAGTCTGATTATGTTTTTTTTTTTTTGCAAAACTTAAAAACAAAATTCTTTTAAGAGTAATTATCTTCTTCTTCTTCTTTTTTTTTTTTTGTGGTACACGGGTCTCTCACCGTTGTGGCCTCTCCTGTCGCGGAGCACAGGCTCCGGATGCGCGGGCTCAGCGGCCATGGCTCACGGGCCCAGCCGCTCCGTGGCATGTGGGATCTTCCCGGACCGGGGCACGAACCCATGTCCCCTGCATCGGCAGGCGGACTCTCAACCACTGCGCCACCAGGGAAGCCCAAGAGTAATTATCTTTTAAAAGCTCTTTAGTCTTCTATGTACCTATCCTAATGTGAGAGAATATTAAGAAACATACATAGAGTAAGCTCAAAATCCCCTCTGCTCTTCATTTCCCTCATCACCAAGGGCAGTTTCTTTCAAATCCACAGCTTCTTATTCCCTTCATCTCTGTTTTTTCTTCCCACACCTCCCCCAACTCCCTACAACCACCACCCCCCGCCCCCAGTCCCTGTGTTTTTGATGTCTACCTTAAACCCAAATTCATGCGTTGGCAGCTACTGGGCTGCCCAAAACCGAGAACAGTCCTACTCTATCTAGCCACACTAGAGACTGTAGGAGGGCAAATGGTATTTTTAGATAAACCTGCAGGCTCTGGTTTCAGGCTTACTTCTCACAACTCCTTAAATTACCTAAACATTTAGGTAACTTTTTTTGTTTCCTCAAAATGATGCTTCTTAAAAGAACTTTCTAAAAACAATATAATTCAATAACAGATATTGAAAGGGCAAAATACCTTACCAGTAGGTTGGGGAAAAACTGGAGGAATGGTTCCAGGTGGTACAGCAGGAGGATAACTTGGAAATATTGGTGGAGGCAAAGGGAAATTCACTCCTAAGGAGCCCTATGGAAGTATTTAAAAGTTATAAAACAATGCAACAAAAACATCCAGAGGGATTAATTAAAGATTTAGTAGAGAATTCACGGACAGTTCTCACCAATTGTTGTAAAGCAAAAAGTGCAGCTTTTTCCTTGGCTTCATTTTCAGAATGGCACTGTGGCCCATGTACCAGTAAGCCGTTAGATAATTTTACCTGGCAAACTGTCATTGTCTAAAAAAAAGAACATGAATGGTTATGAAGTTATCTGTCCAGGAAGTTGACCTCCTCCTCCAAAGCTTAGTTTAAACAAATGGAATAATTTCATCTAACATTTTGTAAAAAAAAATTTAAGAATTCAAAAAGGGACTATCAGCTTAAGTTCTGGGTTATGATGCAAAAACTTTACAATTATTGCCTTATCTTTCAATGTTTACAAAGTTAAAATGATCTCTAAGCTAGCTGAAGGACCAACCATCATAATGTAAATGAAAGCCAGCAAAACTTTTTTCTTTATATCTCGGATCAGGAAACTAGGGTTTCTACTTGTTTTGTATGTAAGATTTTATTGGAACACAGCCAAGCCCACTCTTATGTATCAACTATGGCTGTTTTCATACTGTAACTGTAGAGGTGAGTAGTTGTGACAGAGACCATATGGCCCACAAAGCCTAAAATATTTACTATCTGGCCATTTATAGAAAAAATCTGCTGACCCCTGCTTTCCACCATCCTTTACATAGCACATATTTCGCTAATATGAATTAACTGCTAAAATTTAAAAGACTCAGAGGTTCTGATTTTATATTTACATTTAAATGATAACTCTTTAGAGTAGGTGCTTTTCTTTTATAAAAAAGATTTTAAAAAAATGTTACTTTTTCAAAAGGTAGCCATTTTTATGTAGTATTATTAGTTTAAGCATGCTTTCTGCTTTAGGTGAGAATGTGTCAAGAATCTGGATGTAAAAAGGAGAAAACAGCCTTCCTGCCATGGTTCTCAAGGTGCAGCGTGGGGATCCTGGAGGTCCCTGAGCCCCTTTCTGGGGATCCTTGAGGTTCAAACTATTTGTATTATAATATGAAAATGCTATTTGCCCCTTTCACTCTCATTTTCTCATAAGTATACCGACAACAAAAAGTTCATTGATATAATTTCAGATTCTACATTGCACTAACTTTTAAGAAAATAAAGAATATCCACAGTTATATGAATAGGCTATTAAAATTTTCTTCCTTTTTCCAACTATCTATTTGTGTGAGGCCAGATTTTCTTCATATATTTCAACCAAAACCACATATTACAAGAGACTGATAATAAGAAGCAGATATGAGAATCTAGCTTCTCTATTTAGCTAGAAGATGGATAAGACTTGCAAAAATGTAGAGCAATGCGACGCTTCTCATTAAATTTTTTTCGAAGTCATTTTTTTTTTTTTTTGTGGTAGGCGGGCCTCTCACTCTTGTGGCCTCTCCCGTTGTGGAGCACAGGCTCCGGACGTGCAGGCTCAGTGGCCATGGCTCATGGGCCCAGCCGCTCCGTGGCATGTGGGATCTTCCCGGACCGGGGCACGAACCCGTGTCCCCTGCATTGGCAGGCGGACTCTCAACCGCTGCACCACCAGGGAAGCCCTCGAAGTCATTTTTAATTAACAACATTAAAATTTTTTTTTCAGTTTTAATTTTTAATTTGGTAAATATAGATATAACATAAGTAAACAAAAGTTCTTTGGGGTCCTCAAAAAAAAGATGGGGAGTTTCTGAGACCAAAAAGTTTGAAAACTGCTGCTGGAGACCAAGATCCCTAGCTCTATCAGTCTGAAGAACCTTGCGAGGCTACCTGCTGCCCAGGTTCCTCTACCAGTTTCTCTGAGGGGTCTGGTTATGCATAAATGGAAGACCCAGAGTGAGAGTTATTAATCTATGCTGCTCATAAAGTCAAAAAAATCAGCTCCACTATATTATTTCTAGCCAAAGATTTTCAGTCAATTTATTTAAGCTCAGTGTTCAATAAGTTATGTAAATGGAAGAACAGTAATATACAATACCTGTGGTGTTCTCAGAAAGGAGAAATCTGGTTGTGGCATTCCAACAAGGGAACAAATTCGAGAAAGTTCAGTTACTGGTGTGGACACAGGAGGAATCTGGCTGGCAGCAGGCCAGCACACACTGTCCACAGACTGAACATTACGGTACTCACTAGCACTGTGAGGCTTGTTCATATAAGATGCTGCCAAAAAAGAGAAAAGGACATATCCACATTAAATGATATCTCAAACTATGCAATTATGGCAGGGCTTTACAGAATAGCAAGGAGGACATTGTTGAAAAGTGAGAAGAGGAATCTCCCATGAAGCAAATATAAGAACTATTTAGCTTTGCCTAAAATGACTAAATTCAATGAAGATTTTAGATGATTATAATTAATTACTGATATATAATTAAGACAAAGATTTAAAAATATAAGTAGATGACTGCCAAAAATTAGCATTGTGAGAGATTAATGACTACTTAGTTATTTACAGGCAAAGTCTAAACATGCAAATGGCTTTCTTGAGCTGATTTACAATTAATTCTTAAGTTCTGAGGCTTTAGCTTCAGTCTTCTCAAAATTCCATCCTATTTTCTGAGACACATGGATGAATGTTTCTTTTGCTCTAAAATAATGCTTCTTAAAAGTTTTTCTGAAATTAAGTCTTTTAAGTGCCTTTATTATGATTTAAAAATTCTGAAAGTTCACATTCTTTATAATCAACAAACTCACCAACGGAACAAAAAGCACACCCCAGTGAAGAATGAATCTATACCTCTTACTGTTATAGATAAAAAAAAAAAAAGTGGGCTTCCCTGGTGGCGTAGTGGTTGGGAGTCCGCCTGCCGATGCAGGGGACACAGGTTCGTGCCCCGGTCCGGGAAGATCCCACATGCCGCGGAGCGGCTGGGCCCGTGAGCCATGGCCGCTGAGCCTGCGTGTCCGGAGCCTGTGCTCCGCAGCGGGAGAGGCTACAGCAGTGAGAGGCCCGCGTACCGCAGTTAAGTGGCTTGCCTGAAGTTACACATTAGTTCTGTTACATGAGCTGGATTCCGAGTTCTTGGCTCTAAGGTAGATGATATTTTTTACTATACTGAAGTATAGTAAAAGTTACTTGTTTTTGACAGTGGGACCATATTTATCCAATACTGTTTTAAAATTTTATTTTGCTCTATTTCAAGAGCATATCTGTCCCTATGATAAATATTGTTTCCTGATAGTTACTGGAATTTTAAATTATTTATCCCAATACTCAGCGGAGTATAAATGAAGTTAGGCTCTGATTTTGATACTTAATAAACGCAGATTAGCTTATTTCAAAATGTTTTTTACCTCTCTGAGAAACTTCTGTCCCCAACCTACTTTTACATGAGTCATTTTTCCTGGTAGGCTTTTGCAGATAATTACAGTCAAAATATTAAAGTACAGGGGATGAAGAAGGTAGAGGTAATGATGGACATCTACTGAAATCCAGCTATGTGCCAGAGGTTATGCTATAGGCTTCTTAGACTTTAGGTAAGTGCCCACTTTACAGTGTGTGCCCCCATTAATTATTTTAAATTGATTTTACAGCTTCTTCTATTTTTATGTTGGTCAAGTTATTTTAATGTAATACTAATACAAATTATTCGTACCTATGATGTGTCAGACACAGTGCTAACTGCTTTATATATGTCATACAATTATCACAACCGTCATTTGCAATGCTATTTTATAGATAAAAGAATTTATAGAAAAGTTAAGTAATGTATTTAAGTTACATAATCATTTTTAAATTACTGAGAAAAAGCTAAAATGTGAAAACCTTTCCAGGTTTGGGATCTCCAGAATGAGTATCTGTAATAGTATAATTTAAGTAGTCACAAGGAGGGACTTCCCTGGTGGTGCAGTGCTTAAGAATCTGCCTTCCAATGCAGGGGACGCCAGTTCGATCCCTGGTCAGGGAACTAGATCCCACATGCATGGAGCCTGCTGGTCGCAACTAAGGAACACACGTGCCACAACTAAGGAGCCGGTGAACCGTAACTAAGGAGCCCGCCTGCTGCAATTAAGACCCGGTGCAACCAAAATAAATAATAAAATAAAATAAATTAAATTAAATTTAAAAAATAAACTTATTAAAAAAAGAAATATTGAAAAAAACGTAGTCACAAGAAGACATTTAGGGACTACAGATCTATTGGTTACATAGCTACATTGTTATATAAATGACACAAGTATAAAATTATGCTCTTATTTGTTACTCTTTTTTTTTTTTTTGCGGTATGCGGGCCTCTCACTGCTGTGGCCTCTCCCGTTGCAGAGCACAGGCTCCGGACGTGCAGGCTCAGCGGCCATGGCTCGCGGGCCTAGCTGCTCCGTGGCATGTGGTATCTTCCCGGACTGGGGCACAAACCCGTGTCCCCTGCATTGGCAGGCGGACTCTCAACCTCTGTGCCACCAGGGAAGCCCATGTTACTCTTAATTATACTTAATTATCTTTAAAAATCACATGATTAAAAAATAAATGAACTGGATTTTTGAAGTGATTGGTTATTAGTACTAGTACTTAGCTTACTTACTTAATTTCTTACTTTGTTTAGGCTGTGAGGAAGATCCATATTCATCTCTTCTATTGGAGGAAACAGTGACTTCATTACCAAATTGTTTCATCTCATTCTTATGGTCCACAGTGTCAGAGCCATCAATTTTTAGAATTTCTTTAAGCATCCGAGTTCCCTTCTGTTTTGAAAATGATTGGTATGGAGATAGTAGGGATAAGGGAGAAAAGTTAAAAGCTACAGACCTTACTGATGTTTCTTTTAATAAGTTCCATTGTTAAAAAGTAAAATGATAACTACATTCAGATAGAGGATAAGGAAAATAAGAGTTGAAAAAAAAATTCACATTTCCTGGCAAAGAAACAATACTTATCATTCTGCTTAACTTTTGACCAAACTGTCTAGTGGCAATGTTTGAAAAGCAAGGGAGCTATGGTGGCTAAATTGCCCAGGGCAGCCTGATCTTTCTCACAGGATGAAAATAATAATGCCACACACCAGTCTACATAAGAGAAAGTGTTTTAACTGTTGCACAGGGTATGTGTGGCTAACAGTAATGAAATTACCATAGTGTTCAAGCTCTTACAAAATACGAACCATAGCAAATGACTGTGGTGACAAATGTTCTTCGCTTGGAGGCTCTTCATGATGAGATGACTGTACTTCATTTTCTTTGGAGATATTCAAGGATGCTAAGAAGTTCTCAATTCCAGGATTAGGCTAAAAGAATAAATATTTTGTGCATGAAGATGAAAGTACAAGGACACGAAAATAGCTGAGAGTTTTATGTACAAAAATGATCATTTAATTTTCACTCAATCTTCTTCCCAGGTGTTAAAGTTTGGGAAGAGAACTTGTATAAACCAGTCTTTTAGCTTATCAATGGCATTTGGATAACTAGTTTCAACCTTTCGGTTTTCTGAGACTTCTGCACTCTCATTTCTCTTCAAAAGCTTAACATTACATTTGGCAGGCCCTTCAAACGCCTGTAAGAGAGTAAGAATGAGTTTTTGTGCAAATAAAATTATAATTCCGACTTAATAGTATTCTAAATAAATTGCCGCAAACTTTTTAATGTGTTATTTTTCCCTTTTATACCATGAGAAAAAAGGGGGCCCATAAACTTGATGAGGGAAAAAATTCCATCTTTATTTTCATTAATTTCTAAATGAGACTTAGTATTCCCTTCAATTATGAATGTAGGCAATAAAACACAATGGTGGTGATTCTAATGGTATTTCAATATTACTGGTTTTCTTTCAAATCTTATGTATCTTACTGTAGCATTAAAACTATTATTCTGAGAAAGAGTCCATAGGCTTCACCAAAGAGGTCCACGGCACAAAGAGTTTATGAACCCCTTCTCTAGAAGAAAGGAAATTATAGCATAAGAGTTGCAGAAAGAGATGACTCTGAAAGTCATGCAATTCAACCCTTTATTGGTATCTAAAAATTAATGGGCTGAGAACCTGTTATGTGCCAAGATATCTTCTAAGGTATCTCTTTTTTTTTTGCGGTACGCGGGCTTCTCACTGTTGCGGCCTCTCCCGTTGCGGAGCACAGGCTCTTGACGCACAGGCTCAGCGGCCATGGCTCATGGGCCCAGCTGCTCCGCGGCATGTGGGATCTTCCCGGACCGGGGCACGTACCCGCGTCCCCTGCATCGGCAGGCGGACTCTCAACCACTGAGCCACCAGGGAAGCCCTAAGGTATCTTTTATAAATGTAATATATTATAGCTTATAAGAGATCTAATTTTTAAGAACTTTGTGTTATATAATATGCATATAAAAATGCACATAAGTGTACATAAATATTTTTAGACTTAAAATGTTTGATTATAAAATATATACATACTCCTTATCAAACAACAAACTATATAAAATAAAACATTAAATGATCTCAGTTTCCCCCATTAACCTAACTCCACAGAACTAACTGTTAACTTTGCCATGTTGGTCCATATACTTTCACTGAATATACAAACATATTTCTACATATTTTATACATGTAATGTACCCACATATATTCATATATGTAGGTATGTCTGTATGTATTTATGTATATACAGACTATATATAATGAGAGACACAAGTGATATATTTTTATCTCCATTTTAAAGATGAAGAAATTGAGGCTGTGAGAAGTGTAGTGAATTGTTCAAGGCCACCTAGCTGTTAAATGGCAGAACCAGAACTTCAGGTCTCTCTAGTTCCAAATCCTGGACTCTAGCTGTACAACCTCCCATCCAAGTGACTGACAGGCTCAGCAACCCTCCTGTCATGCACTTTATGAATCTGGCTGAAAGGGCTGCAAAATTCAGTCAGATGCCACAGAGCCACCAACTACAATAAAAAGTGGGCTACTAGCATAGTGCAGGGATATCAGCTTGGTGCTTTGTGTCCACCTAGAGGGGTGGGATAGGGAGGGTGGGAGGGAGGGAGGGAGGGAGATGCAAGAGGGAACAGATATGGGGACATATGTATATGTATAACTGATTCACTTTGTTATAAAGCAGAAACTAACACACCATTGTAAAGCAATTATACTCCAATAAAGATGTTTAAAAAAAAAGTGGGCTACTAGAAATGTGATTTTAAGAAGCTTACCTGCCTATTTGATATTTTTTGTGACCGACTCTCAGTTTTAGGACTCTTACACTCTTCTTTAACTAGAGACAAGAAAACAGAAATTTTGTTAAATGAAATTTGCTGCACACCAATTAAATTTACCAAGTATTTACCATAGCAAGGCACTGTGTAAAAAATTCACAGAATTCCAAGGAGACAAAGGCCCTGATCTTGAGGAACTTATAATTTAGATGAGGGTGAGAAGAGAAACTCACAGATGACAACAATAAGGGAAAAAGAAAGGTGGCATCTAACTGAGCCTTGCAGGACGGCAGATTTCCAAAGGGCAGAATAAGAGGCTAAGTACTCCAGCAAAGGAAATAATAGGAGAAAAGATAAATAACAGTAGAAGCAGAAAGCAAGGAATATTTGTGGAACTAAAAACAGACCAGTTCTGCTGGAGGTTGAGGAGTATAATGCAGCTTAATTTAACTAGAGAAGCAGGCTGCAGCCACAAGCTGCAAAGGACTGAAGACTATGGAATTACACTGGTAGGCAACAGGCACAATCACAGAAAGGTTTTGAGCTGGTAGGAATCTGATCAGAATTGTGCCTTAAGAAAATTATAATATGGCAGTGGCTTATTAGCTAGGTAGAAGGAGTAAGAGACCAAGTAGGAAGCTATTTTAGTATTCCTGTTAAGGGGAAATGACGGGAACAGAAAGAAAGTGAAAAGGATGGATTAGAAGAGGAAGAAGGAAAGGGAAAAAAGAAGAAAAGAAGGAAGGAAGAAAGGGAGGAAGAAGGGGGAGAGGGAGAGACAAAAGAGACAAAAGAGGAAAGAGAATGAGGAAAGAAGTAAGGGGAAGGGATGGAAGGGGGACGGAGGGGATGGAATGAGAGAGGAAGGAAGGGACAAAGATGGGAAGGAAAGGGAAGAGAGGGAACAGAGAGGGGAAAAAAAAGGAAGAGAGGAAGGTAAGGAAGAATTCTTGCAAAAAGGAGGAAAATAAAAAGTGACACCACTGCTATTCAACACTGTACTGGTAGTTTTATCCACAGCAATTAGGCAAGAAAAATAAATAAAAGGCATCCAGATTGTATAGGAAGAAGTAAAACTATCTCTATTTGCAGAAGCCAAAAAAATTAGGGCAAATAAATAAGTTCAACAAGGTGGGAGGATAAAAGATCAATATATAAAAGTCAGTTTTATTTCTATATATAGTAATGAACAATCTCCCCCCCACCAAATTAAGAACACAGTTCCACTGACAATAGTATTACATAGAATAAAATACTTAGAAATAAATTTAACAAAAAAAGTTCAAGACTTGTACACTGAAAACTACAAGACATCACTGAAAGAACTAGAAAGGCTTAATATTGCTAAATGACAGTACTACCCAAAGTGGTCTACAGATTTAATATGATCCCTATAAAAATTCCAGCTGCCATATTTGCAGAAATAGACAAGCTGATCCTAAAATTCATATGGCAATGCAAGAGACCAGAACAGACAAAATAATCTTGAAAAAGAAAAACAATGTTGGAGGATTCAAACTTCCCAATTTCAAAACTGATAACAAAGCTATGGTAATGAAGACAGTGTGTTGTTCCAAAAAGATGGCATATAGATAGGTGAAATGGGAATTGACAAACTAGAAATAAACCCATACATCTATGGTCAACTGATTTCTGACAAGGGTGCCAAGACAATTCAATGGAGTGCAAAGAGAATTCAATGGGGAAAGAACTGTCTTTTAGCAAATAGTTCTGGGACAACTAGATATCTACATGCAAAAGAGTGAATACAGACCCCTATCTCATACCATGTATATACTTATTCAAAAATGAAAAAAGGACCTAAATGTTAGAGCTAAAACTATAACACTCTTAGAAGAAAACAGGTGTAAATTTGTGTGACCTTGAATTAGGCAATGCTTTCTTAGATGATACCTAAAGCATAAGCAAACAAAGAAAAAGTACAAAAAAACAGATAAATCGGACTTGATGAAAATTAAAAACTTTTGTACTTCAAGGACACTGTATAAAAAGTTAAAAGACAACCCAGAGGATGAGAGCACATATTTGCAAATCAAGTATCTGCTCAGCATATACGATATAGACTATAAAAAGAAGTCTTACAACTCAAGAATAAAAAGACAACCCAATTTTAAAATGAGCAAAGGATCTGAATATATATTTCTCCAAAGAAGATATACAAACAGCCAATAAGCACACGAAAAAATGTTCAACACTATTAGTCATTAATGAATTACAAATGAAAACCAAAGGAGACTCCACTTTACATTCACTAGGATGGCTACAATAAAAAAGATGGATAATAACAAGTGTTATAGAGGATGTAAAGAAATTGGATCCTCATATATTGCTGGTGGGAATGTAAAATGGTACAGCTACTTTGGCAAACAGTTTGGTAGTTCCACAAAAAGTTAAGCATAGAGTTAACACATGACTCAATTATTCCATTCATTCATATATACCCAAGAGAACTGCAAACATATGTTCACACAAAAACTTGTACATAAACATCCACAGCAGCATTATTTATTACAGCCCAAAGGTGGAAACAATCCAAATGTCCATCAATGGATGAATGGATAAACAAAATGTAGTATTCATACTATAGAATATTGTTCAGCTGTAAAAAGGAATGAAGTACTGATACATGCTACAAGATGGATGAACCTTGAAAAGATTATGCCAAGTGAAAGGAGCCAGACTCAAAGGTCACATATTTTATGGTTCTGTTTACATGAAATATCCAGAATAGGTCAATCCATAGAGGCAGAAGTAAATTAGTGGTTGCCAGGGCTTGGGGAATCACTACTAATAAGTATGGTATTTCTTCTTGGGGAGATGAAATTGTTCTAAATTTAGACAGTGGCATTGGTTGTACAACTTTGTGAAAACACCAAAAAACACTGATTGTATACTTTAAAAGGATGAATTTTATCATGTATGAATTATAACTCAATAAAGCTGTTAATTAATAAAAATAAAAGGAAGCAGTTAGCACCACAAGTATACTTTCTAACTCATAACTTACATTTTCTGTGAGGCTCATGTTTTCTTTGCTTAACACTGTTCTCATTAAAGCCAGATTTGTGATGTTGAGTTACTTGACTTATTTCTTGAGGTAGAACTGCACCCTGAAAATTAAAGTTCTTATAAATGATTTAAACAAACTCTTAATATTAAAACTACTTCTCTTCCTCAATGCTTAATACTTTATTATTTTTATAAAAGTTATAGAGCTCACTAGAAAAAGATTTAAGGAATGCAGAAAAGTATAGAGAATTTAAGAAAACCACTCGAATTCTACCGCCCCCCAAATAACCATTATTAACATTATGATCACCACTCCAGACGTTTCTCTACGCATTAGTTAGATAGTAAGGTACACAGAAAACAATCATTTTACAAAAATGCTTTCAATAGAAAGAATTCAATCTAATTTTGTTTGAAGTTAATACAGAAACTAAAGATTAAACTTTAGGTGAATGTTTCTTCATAACAGAAATATCAGCCTCTAAAGATCCCTCTAGATTTGCTTCAAAATAATCCTATCTCTGCGGTATGTGGGGATAGGAAATGAATAGGTATCATGGAAGAAACAGAACTGGACATGTTCAAGGTAAAGGATGGGTACATGTAGATTTATTATACTATTTTCTTGACTTCGTTATTTAAAAAATTTCCATCAGAGTTTTAAAAAATTCATCGTTCCTGTCCCTATGTTATAAAAGTTGAGGATATTATTAGCCCTTTCACATCCTTTCCCCTAATACCTGATTTTTATTAATTAATATTTATAATGTCAAGGTTTTAAAATGCTGGAAGACTATTATTACTACCAGATAGCAAGACTGATTATAAAGCTACTGTAATTGAGACAGTGCATGAATGGACAAAATTAGCAAAATGACATGAGTAAGTTTCATATAAAGATCACAGCAGATCCTTTTGCTTTCTGATAGGGAGAAGAGACCTGAAGGCAAAAAGAGACAGATAACTTGCCACAGCTGAAGTAGGAAGGGGAAGCAGAAGTAGGGGCTGGAGATGTTCAATACAAATTAATCACTTTACAATGATTACACAATTTTTCTTTTGGTGGGCCCTATTTATTTTTTTCTGAGCACAGGCAAATGAACACTGGGTACATGTGGGCTCTTTACTAGGGCTCTTTACTCTTTAAAAAAAAGGGCTCTTTACTCTTTAAAAAAAAGGGCCAAGAGATTTCCATCCACATAGCACAATGGCTTGTGGGGGATTCTGACTCTAAAAAGGGAATTAGAACAGCAGGTTCAATAAATTGGTGTGAACGAATACTGTGTGTCTATTATGTGCCAGGCATGGTTAAGATGTACTTTGCATCCATTATCTTAACATCATTATAATAATGCTATAATCATAAAAATGCTATGGTGTATTTTGATTCCATGTTATAGAGGAGTAAACTGAGGCTCAAAGTGATAATGTAATTGGTTACAGAACTAAATAGGAGAGCTGATATCTGAGCTCTAACTCTAAAACCCATGTTCACAGTACCATTTCAGAGAAAAAGTGCCCTAAGTTTAATTAGAAAGAAAATATCCTACTTTTAAGTATGTTTTTTTGAATTCTGTTTGAGGTCTACATAAAGCTATTTGTGTCAGTCACATTGTCATATTCTGCCAATAAAGACTTGAATGTTTTTTTAAAGACTTTTTTTAAAAAAATAAATTTATTTATTTATTTTTGGCTGTGTTGGGTCTTTGTTGCTGGGCATGGGCTTTCTCTAGTTGCAGCGAGCGGGGGCTACTCTTTGTTGTGGTGAGTGGGCTTCTCATTGCGGTGGCTTCTCTTGCTGCAGAGCACGGGCTCTAGGCATGTGGGCTCAGTAATTGTGGCTCGCGGGCTCTAGAGCGCAGGCTCAGTAGTTGTGGCACACGGGCTTAGTTGCTCTGCGGCATGTGGGATCTTCCCAGACCAGGGCTCGAACCCGTGTCCCCTGCGTTGGTTGGTGGATTCTTAACCACTGTGCCACCAGAAACCCTTAAAGACTTTTTGAAAGAGCAGTTTTAGGTTCACGCCAATACTGAGAGGAAGGTACAGAGATTTCCCCTATACCTCCTGCCCCACACATGCATAGGCTTCCCCATTATCAACATCCCCACTGGAGTGGTGCATTTGTGACAACTGATGAACCTACAATGACATATAATTGTTACCCCAAGTCCTTATTTTACATTGGGTTCACTCTTGGTGTTATATATTCTATGGGTTTGGACAAGTGTGTAATGACATGTATCCATCACTACAGTATCATACAGAGCATATTCAATGCTCTAAAAATCTGTGCTCCACCAATTCATCTCTCCCATTCCCAATAATCCCTGGCAACCACTGATATTTTTACTGACTCTATAGTTTTGCCTTTTCCAGAAGCGTGAATACCTTTTTTTAAAAAAAAAAAATCATGTTGAGTTCTCTATAATTTGCTTATCAGATGAATTCCAGGCTGCTTATTAAGGCTTCATGGATATAAGTGTTATATGTGGTGGCTCATAATTCTTAGAATATACAAGAGATAAAACATGGGAGTGTTCAGCTGATATAAATAATGAAATAGCACCTAATAATAAGAGATGCATATAGAAGATTCTGAGGAAATATAATATCAAGTGTGGCATTCCATCTCAAGGAAATTGGTGGTCATAGCTAGTAGACTTTTTGGCAGTGAGAGAGGAAAGCGCATCCTAAGTGGAAGGAACAATGCAAACACATAATCTGAAATGGAAATTACCTGTTTATGGGAAAGGGAAAGTTAGGAGACCAATCTGATTAGAACAGACCATTTTACCAAATAGTTGACATACTTTATATAAGAACTATGCAGAGTTGGATTATAGAAGGCCTAAATATTAGTTTGAGTTGAGGTTGAATTCCACTAGTATTAAACAGGAAGCCCTATACATTCTAGAGTATTTGAACAACACTATTTGAGGGCTGCAAAAGACCTCAGAGTTCATCTAAGTCCAAGCCTTAATTTTATACACGAGGCCACAGAAGCCCAGGGAAATCAGATTTGTGCAACTTGAGGCACAAAACCTGATTTCCTGATTCCGAGTCTAATACCAGATTTATCTTCACTACACTGCCACAGGGCATAAACTGAGTTCAAAAGCAGGAGTCCTTATTAATTATTAGATACGTTGCTCAATTATGCCATGATTAAGCAACAATGGTGAAAGGCTCTTTAGGAAAGATTAGGTAGGAAGTACTATGTAGGAAGGACTAGAAAGGAAAGACATAAGAAATAGGAAGCACAGATAGGAGGTTAATCTAGGGCTGGGATGACAATTTAAGGTCCAGTTGTAAAAACTGAGAAGGGGTATAAAGATTTGGGGACTCAATGCAAAAAATATTAGAGAGAAGAAGCAAAAATTTTTTGACTTCATGCTTTTCAGATTATATGCCTGAGTAAATGGTTGTGTTAGAAAATAAGGATAAGAGAAGAGGCTTTAGATGAGGTCAGTTGTGAGATATCTTGAAGTTGAGGTGATGGCGGAGCATCCATCTATATCTGTCTTCTAGAAAGTTGGAGATATTGGGTTAGACCTTGATTGAGAGGTTGGAATTAGAGACATAGATTAAGCGGTAATTAGCAGAGAAGTAAGACCCAAAGTCACCAGTCAAGGAATAAGGCAAAAGGGAAAAGAAAACTGTTGCGTTTCAGGGAACAGCCCCCAGTGAAAGGCTGGAAGAACAGAGGTTAACAAAGAACCTGAACAAATAGGGAAAGGAAAGAGGAGAGGCTCGGGGTAATGTTTTCTCTTAGAGCAAAACTCCTTGAAAGAATTACCCATATTTGCTGCCTCCAATTTCTCTCTTCCTCTTTTCTCTTAAACCCACTCAAATCAGTATTTCGCTCCTATCACTTAAATGAAACTGTTCTTGTCAAGGTTCCCAATGGCCTTCGTGTGCTAAATTCTGTGCGTAGTCAATTCTCAGTTTTCATCTTAATTGATCCATCAGCAGCGTTTGACACAGGTTATTACTCTGTTCTCTCTGACATCTGTTCTTCACGTGGCATCTAGAAACCACCCTTCCCTGGTTTTCTTCCCGTCACCAGCCATTCCTTCTCAGTCTTCTTTGTTAGTTCCACCTAGTCTCACTGACTCTTGAAGGATGGAATGCTCTAAGGCTAAGTTGTTGAACTTTTTTTCTACCTATCCACTTTCTTGGATATAGATAAATATAGATATATACACATATATGCACACACACATGTGCACATATACACACATATATGTATATATGTGGGTGTATATATATATATATATATATATGTATATGTATATGTATATAATGATTCCCAAATTTCTCTCTCCAGCCTGGACAACACTGATGACCTTGAGACTCAATGTCCAACTCTACATCTCCACTCAAATACTCCAAAAACTCTTCTTAAATGTTTAGTATACATCTCAAACTTACCAAAATTGAACTCCTGATCTTCCCCCACAAACCTACCAGATCTGCAGTCTTTCCCATCTCAGTTAATAGCCCCTCTATCCAGACCTTAAGAGTCATGTCCTTTAACACATTCTTTCTCTTTTACCCGCATATCCAATTCATCATCAGCTGGAAATCCCTTCCAAATATGTTTAGAATTTGACTACTTTTCACAGGGTCCTACTACCCTGGTCCAAGTCAATATCAACTCTATCTTGATGATTTCAGTAGTCTCTGAACTAGTCTCTGTTTCCACCTTGGTTCCTCTACATTCTATTCTCAAGATAGCAGGCAGAGTGATACTATTAAAATATAAGTCAAATCATGTCACTCTGCTTTGCAAAACCCTCTGCTGATTCCCTATCTCACTGAGTAAAAAGCCAATGTCCTTATAATGGTCCAGGAGGTCCTACATAGTATCAATCTCTTACCTCTCTAATTACATTTCCTACAACTCACCCTACTGATTCAGCCAAATGGTCTTCTCATCCTTGTGTATGCCAGGGATCACCACCCCCAACAGGGCCTTTGACTTTGTCTTAAATACTCTCCCCTCAGATATCTGTATATCTACTCCTCATTTCGTTCAAATCTTTGCTCAAATGTTACCTGAACATTCCACTTAAAACTGCAGGGCATTTCCCTGGTGGAGCAGTGGTTAAGACTCCACACTCCCAATGCAGGGGGTCCGGGTTTGATCCCTGGTCAGGGAACTAGATCCCACATGCATGCTGCAACTTAGAGTTCGCATGCCACAACTAAGGAGTCCGTGTGCTGCAACTAAGAAGCCAGTAAATCGCAACTAAGGAGCTCGTGAGCTGCAACTAAGGAAACTGCCTGCTGCAACTCAGAAGCCCATGTGCCGCAACTAAGGAGCTGATGAGCTGCAACTAAGGTGCCCACCTGCTGCAACTAAGGAGGTGATGAGCCGCAACTAAGGAGCCTGCCTGCTGCAACCAAGACCCAGCACAACCAAAATTTAAAAAAAAACCCAAACCAGGAAACAAACAAATCAACAAAGCAAAAAAACAAGAACAAGAAACCCCCTAAAAAACCAACAACAAGAAAACAAAAACAAAAACCCTGCAAAACCTTGCCTTCCCCCTCCCCAAAATTCCCTATCCTGCTTCCCTGCAATTTTTCTCAAACTTATATCATCATCTAATACACCATTTTTGGGGGGTCTTATTTATTATCCTTTCCTCCCTACAGTACTAACTGTATGAGAGCCAGGGTTTTTGTTTTGTTTGCAGCTATATTCTCAGTGCATAGAACAATGCCTGGCACATGGTAGGCACTTAATAAATACATGTTGAATGAATGAATGATAAAAAAGCACTCTTGAGGAATTAGCCATATTAAATAAATAAGAGAGGAAAAGAGGGTTAAAAAATCTGGTCATGGATTACATTTATGTAGAAAGATTTATGAATGATCTAAGGAAAACTTAAAATAGCATATTGGCAGAAGTGACCTGTGCGTTGTAACTCTCACTTTTTTATTTTTACTTTGTTTAGATTATTTTTCCCACTTTATTATTATTTATTTAAAAACTGAAGTACAGTTGACTTACAGTGTTGTTGTTACTCTCACGTTTCATGTTTACTTTACGAACATTCCCTTTGCTATTTTCCCCTCGCTAGCACTGATGATGCCACCATCACGGGAGGACATTAGAATAAATTAGGCCCTCATGGTGCAGGCTACTGGTTTATAAACCTGAGAGGACATTCCTTTTTGACCTAAGCTGAGAAGGTAGGTTAGTAATTAGCAAAAAATGTAGTAGGAATTCATTCCTTTTCTTTTTCCTTTTTTTTTTGGTGCCTGAGTCTACTCTTTTAGCAGAATTTCTTTCCTCTTCTTAAACTCTATCAAGGAATGTGAATTTGCTCATTCACATTTAAGACAACCAACTGCCAGCATAGAGCTATATATTCAAGTGGAAGTGAATAAGTTAATGAGTGCCATTAAAGCCTTTATTAAAAAGAAAAATTGTCTACATTCTTACTCATTAGTCCAAAAACACATGTAGCCTAAGAGAACTATGAAAATTCAAGATCAAAGTGTTATTTCTATTTTATGAGATTTCAGGAGGAAAATTAATCACTGCATACCTAAAATAGAAATATAAAATAAATTAAAAAAAATTAAATGTCCATCAAGCAAGGTATACTAACCTTCTCTTGTAGAGGTGGCTGAAAGTGTTGAACCTTTCCAGATCCCTGTAAGGATTGCCAAATGTTGCAAAATTCATCATCATCTTTAGCAGGTACCTGGGAAAGTACAAAAAACTTCTTAAGGAAAACTGAAACATGAAAAAATAAAGATTCAGACTAAAAATCAAATAATTTATTTATTAAAGCTACGTAGCAGTAGATAGGATATTTAAATTTCATTATCTGTTATCTCAGTTCTTTTTTTCTGGAGCTCAGTATAGTAACCATAAAAGTATACTGCTGGAGTGAAAATGTTCTTCTACAGATGTAATTGGTTATTAAAAAATATTTAAAGCATATCAAATGCTATAAAAGATTATACTGAATCAATATCCCACCAAAAGATTTTTTTTGGTCTTCCAGTCTACTGGCATATTATCTTATTCAAGCTAACATTTAATAATATTTATTTAAAATTTTTTGGGGACTTTCCTGGTGGCTCAGTGGTTAAGAATCCACCTCCAATGCAGGGGACACAGGTTCGATCCCTGGTCCAGGAAGATCCCACATGCCGTGGAGCAACCAAACCCGTGCACCACAACTACTAAGCCTGTGCTCTAGAGCCCATGCATCGCAACTATTGAGCCCACGCACCACAACTACTGAAGACCGCATGCTCTAGGGCCCGCATGCTGTAACTGAAGCCCGTGAACCTAGAGCCTGTGCTCCGCAACAAGAAAAGCCACTGCAATGAGAAGGCTGCACACCACAACAAAGTAGCCCCCACTCGCTGCAACTAGAGAAAGCCTACGTGCAGCAACGAAGACCCAATGCAGCCAAAGATAAATAAAATTTAAAAAAAATTAAAAATTTTTTTATCTTACACAAAAATAATCTGATTAAAAAAATCAGCTATTACTTATGGACAACTGATTTCATGCAAATTAAAAATCTAGAAAAATATGCACCAAAATTTGACAGTGGTGATTACCTATGAGATTTGAGGGGATTTTTGCTTGCTTCCTTTGTTATCATCTACTTATCTGTTTTCTAATTAGTCTATAATAAATATGTGCTATTTGGATTAAAAAGTTTGGTTAAATGTAAAATAGATAGCTAGTGGGAAGCAGCTACATAGCACAGGGAGATCAGCTCAGTGCTTTGTGATGGGGTGGGATAGGGAGGGTGGGAGGGAGACGTCTCGCAAGAGGGAGGAGATATGAGGATGTATGGGGATATATGTATACGTATAGCTGACTCACTTTGTTATACAGCAGCAACTAACACAACAATGTAAAGCAATTATACTCCAATAAAGATGTTTAAAAACAAAACAAAACAAACAAAACAAAAAGTTTGGTTAAAATTTGGGGCCATGGAATTAAATAAAGTTAAGTAACTCACACAAAACAATTCAAGTTTTGCCCTCAGGAATATGAAATAAAGGAAATCACCCATGAGTTATATGGTGGGAATTTGAAAATTGCTTTTGATAAACATGATATAGTCCTCTCCCTTACCTTTCAAATTAATGTCATTTTGTAGGAGATAACATAGGACATTTGGGTGATATAAGACAAAATAAGTGTTAGTCTACCAAGTAAATATACAAAGAGAAAACAGATATTTTCAAGATCATTATTTAAATAAAAGTCTTACTTGAGTAGGAACAAAAAGTGATTGAGGGGAATGGTTCAGACCTCCCAAATGCCCAGATGAAATTGATGAACTTGAGCTATAGTGATTCACAGCTGGCTGTGGTTTCACAATGGCTGTCAACTTCTGATTTCCTGTTTCAGAGCGACTCCCATGAGAAAGGTTCACCAAGGCACTTGTTGGCAGTCGATAACCTCTACCAGGTGAGCACCTAAAAGTAAAAAGTTTTATCAGGGTCAGAGGAAACTAATACTAAAGGGAGCTAAAAGAATCAAATAATTTTGGGGTGGACAGTCCGTAATCCAAATTAAGAAATATTACTTTTAAATTCAGTAGAGGAACTTGAAATCATAGAAAGATCTCAATTTATAAGATTTCTGAAAACTTTCTGAATAGAGTATTCAGTGCTACTAAGTGGGGGGGAAAATGTTCTAGAGGTATAGTTGTGTGTGTAGGGGTGTGTGTGTGTTAGTTTGTCCTCAGAAGGCTTGCAACATAATAGCTGAGTTAACCAAAAATTCATGAATTAAATGTCAAACTTCTTTAAAAGGTTATGAAGCTACCCCGTGTGGAGCTAGTGTGGCTCTACCTATGCAACAGGGCAAATGTTAGCTTTGATCACTTGTCTCCTGATCAATTGTTGAGTCCAGCTCTTTTTATCCTCATCTTCCCATCTTAATGGTCCAGAACTGGGAAGGCTAAGAGACAAGTATTTGCAATTTCCTTCCTTCCTGGCCTTGATAAAAGTGTTTAGATATTAAAATAAGCCTTCTCTGGACAAAAGTTTTCAACTCTATCACCTCTTTAGAAAGTAATTTTCTTATATTCTGAGATCATGGGGAAGTAGAATTCCTTCATGAGAAATCTTTGTAAGATTTCTAGAAAATATTTTTGTGAGAACTATAGTTTAAGAGTCTGCATTATAGAAATGAATATATTGCAGGCATGTAATCTTTTACACAGCTCTCAGTCAGTCAAGAAATCCAGTGTCTCTATCTAGGAGAGGAAAAAAAACCCTGAGAAAAAAGTTAATCATCTTAAAAATATATTTCAAAGTTATTTTGCCTAGAGTTATTGGTAATCAAACATTTTCATGAAAAATAAAATCAGATATGGGATCCAGACCCTGCTGCTGACAGTAGGGCTTCCCTGGTGGCGCAGTGGTTGAGAGTCCGCCTGCCGATGCAGGGAACGGGGGTTTGTGCCCCGGTCTGGGAGGGTCCCACATGCTGCGGAGCAGCTGGGCCCATGAGCCATGGCAGCTGAGCCTGCGTGTCCAGAGCCTGTGCTCCGCAACGGGAGAGGCCACAGCAGTGAGAGCCCCACGTACCGCAAAAAAAAAAAAAAAAAAAGAGTGCAGACAGTAAAGTCTTTGGGTAATAGGCACATTCAAGTTGCAAAACAATAATAGTATTCTGAATGTGATCACTACTCGTAAGGACTGAAGATTGTGATTTTATGCAATTAGGCTAAATAAGAGTAATTAATTTTTTACTTTACCACTAATCAAAACAGAGGAGAAAAAGGAACTAAGCTAACTTCAGTTCAGTTTTCCAGTTGGTGTTTAGAAGGGAGAAAGGGAAACTGGAAAGGATTTCATTTAACCCTCACAATCACCTAATGAAGTGCACATCTTCATTACAGATGAGAGGAATTGAGGGTCAGAATGCTTTTAACTAACCTACCTAAGGTAACACAAAGGTTAAGTGAAAGAGCCCACACTTTCTAATATTCCATGGCACCTCTCATTCTAACATGAACTTTTTCCTATAATTTTAAACTTGCTATTAATGCTCCCCAAAATAGATCTGAACAAGTCTCGGCCATGTTAAATTAAAAACAAACAATCCAATCCTCTTCCTTTAAACCTGCTCACCCCCAGTTATCTTCTCCCCTTCATGGTCAAACTTCTCAAGGGTCAGCTCAGTTTCTTGCCTCCCATGTTACACCTGCCATTCACTCCTCAAACCAACCCAATCTAGCTTGAGCACCCACAACTCCACTAAAACAAATGACAAAGACTTAAAATGTCACTCAATTCAAAGAACATTTCTATCCCTCAAGTTATTTAACCATAAAAAAATGCAAATCTGATCATGTCACATTTCTGATTTTGATGGCTTCACATGGCTTTAATGATAAAGACCAAGATACCAAGATCCTTAGCATGTCCTGAAAGTGGCTTACCAGTTCCTGCACAGTGTGGTCCTTACTCTAATCTTACACAGTTGCTGAAGTTGACACACCTGCATTCTTTCAGTTTTTAAATGAGTGAAAATGTCCTCTGTTGCATATGCTATTCTTTCTTCCTGACCACTTGTCACTCTTCCTCTACTTACCTATTCTTCATGTCCCATTTTAAATGTCACTGCTTAAAGAAAGCCTTTCTAGAACTCTCAGGACAGATCACACTCTTATAGACACCTGAAATACTTCTTCCCAGCACTTGTCACATCTTAATTAAAAAATTAATATTGTAGTAAGTTAATTATTGGGTTGGCCAAAAAGTTCGTTCGGGTTTTTGGTACCATTTTACCAAAAACCCGAGCGAACTTTTTGGCCAACCCAATGTATCCCCCCACTTCTAAAATGAAAGTTCCATGAGGGTAGAAACCATGTCTGTCTTATTCACTGTTACACTCCTGGTAGCAAGTATGACGTCTTGTACATACCAGGAACTGAAATTGTGGACAAATAAACAAGTAATGTAGTTATTGGCCACATGGGCATATTTACAAAGTATAATTGTCATCTGGAAATACAAACCTTATTGTTAAACCTCCAGGAAATTCTTCATCAAATAACACTTCAAATAGTACATCAGCTTCTCTATTAGCTGTTTAAAAAAGAGAGAGACTGAAAAATCATATGATAAAAGAAAAATCAGCATTTAAGTTTTTGGGGTATAAGAAGCATTACAACTTTCAATACAGAAAGTGAATGAAAAGAAAATAAGCTCACAGATTACCTTACTGGTATTAACTTAAAGTAAAATAATACTATTTTAAATTAGATGCTGTGAGAATTAATTATATTTTTCTCTCTGTTTTGGTGTATGTTGGAAATTATTCATAAAAAGAGAGTTAATAAGAGATAACTTTGGAATTTGCAGTTTAGAAGGTCTTACAATCAGACAAAGGAAATGAAGATTTGAAGACACGGCAGTAACGAAAGGAACAGAATGGAGAGAACGGATATACTACTAGATAGAACTGGCAGGAGTTTGTGACCTGTGTAGACAAAAAGAACAGAGATGTCAAAGATACTCCAAAGTTCTGGCTGAGATGACTTGGTAGATAATGGATGGCATGACTGAGACATGAGACACGTGAGAAAGACTGTGGTGCAGTAAACTTAAGGAGGAACAGAAAAGAATAAATTTTGGCAGAGAGGATGATGGGATATAACTGGAAAGTTTAAATTTACTAAAATGCCAAGATAAAGTGAAATAATTAACTATAATAATATTTGAATTCTAAGCCCAAATTAATAATAGAGTCTATCACATAACTTCAGAATTGACTCTCTCTCTCTCTCTCTCCCCATCTCTATCCCCACCCCTTTCCATGCTATTGGTTCTGTTTCTCAGGAGAACGCTAATACCATACCTGATACTATGTTAGGGGTTGGGGGATGTGTCCCTCATTTTTGGTCCCTCATTGCCCAAATGAAACCAGGCCTGCAGAGCTAACTCATTCTCCCTCATCTGGCTGTACCTTTCACCTGACACTTTTACCTAAAATCTAAACCCAAGAAAGTGGGGCTCAACCCAAGAAAGTGGGGCTCAATGGGAGGCAGGAGTTTCTCCTCTGAAGGCTTAAGGTCCACTTTCTAAGTTTCTGTTTCCTGTCTGAGGGAGAAGCCACTTACTCAAAAGATTATTTGGTGGAGATGACAACAGAGATGAGGTATCAGCTGAAGGCAGTAAGACAAGTATTTCCCTTTATGTTCCATGTCCATGGCAGACATGGTTAATCAATGACAGAGCTTTTTCCACTCAGTAGGTGCAAAATTTTTGTCAAGACAAAATTCCAAGTGGTCACTACTACTGATAGGGGTTGACAGAAGAAAGGAAACTTCTGTGTTATCAGAGTCCTAAGGCTTTTTCAAGACAATCTAATTAGAGTACAATCCAATAAGCTCAACATTTGAACTGCCAATGCCTGAGGCTGAACAGATAGCAGCAGGAGGGTTGCTTCATTGCACCCATCTGACCTTTACCATACTTAGCCTGGGCTTAACCTACTTAACCTTCCTGCCTCCATTTTCAGCACCAGAAATGTATCCAAAAAAATTCAAAGAAAAATCAGGGAAGAAAATTCTCTTTTTAGAGGCAGACCCCAAGAAGATGTGCAAATGTGGAGAACCACTGCTCAAAGTTAGAAAAGAAACAGGGCACAGAGTTCAAATCCCAGCTCTGCCACTTATTTGTGTAAATTTGGGCAAGTCACTTAAACTCTTAGCCAAGGAAATAATATCTCCCTCTCAGGTGGTTGGGAGGGTTAAATGTAAAATGTAAAAGTGCCGGGCACACTGTTGGCAATAAATAAGCAGCTCTCTTAGGCTCATGGCCTGTCTGCTCTTCCTTCTTTCTGCCAGTGAGACCAAGGCTGAGTGCCTGGGATACGGAGGGACAGTGCTGCCAGCGCTCTGACCTCTAGGTACCTGATTTGCTGCTTCATGTTGGGTTGACTTTTTTTGGAATCTATGTTGCAAAGCTACTCACTCCAGGCATCCCTTTGAGGCATTTTTAGATCCTTAGCTAATTCTTCCCTTTTCTTTCCATACTCTCATTTTTCTTTTTTTGTAAAAAACATATAATATAAAATTTATCATTGTAACCATTTTTAAATGTATAGTATTGTAGTGTTAACTATATGCACATTGTTATGCAACAGATTGATAGGTCTGTTTTACATACAATATCTAGTTGTATTCATAAAATTCAAATAAATATGCAAATCTTTTAACCACAAATAAGCTGATGCATCATGTTTGTTTATTTCTCCACAGATATCAAGAGATTACAATGACAATTAAGGTAAAGCCCTGAACAAGGTTAGATGAAGCCCGATGAAATGTTTCTCTTAGTTTCATGAAAACACAAGTATGTATTCTAAGGTTTTAGATAATTTTAATGTGCTACACATAAGCTACCAAATTTTTCAGCAGCCCTTCCTCAACTTCCCCACGTTTTAATCACTTCCCAGATGATTACACAAGATAGAGAAGAAGAATTTTCTCTGAAAACCTAAAGCTGGGAAAAACTTAACTAAAACATAAAAGGATTTAGTGTTTTTCCTGATTTATAGTTGCTTACTGCTTACATATAAGACACACAAGTTTGTGTTTCACTCTACAATATAAACGCAGTTGGAGACACGTCAAATATTGAGTTATTACCCCCTTTAATTCCTATGATGGTGCCCCGAAGGCCAACTGGAACGGAAAAGTTCTCTCTCACATTTACAACTCGGTCAAAGAGACGAAATTCTGCATCCCGATCAGGAATGACTCCATGTTGCTGTTCTAAAGGCTGAAGAGAAGAAAGATTTAATTATTATTATTAACTCTAATTTTAAGAAGTTTTTCTACTAATGTATTGAAAACATTTTGTTCCTCTGATACTTTCAAAGCAAAAACAACAACTTTGAATTCTCCGACAGGAAACTTACTCTGTATAGCAAATGGGGCTTCACTGTCACTCGAACCTTCTTATTATTCTTTCTTTGCTGAGGAAAGAAGAAATTGAAAATATTTTTAAAATATTAAAATTTAAAATTATTATTCAGTATTTGGACATGCCTAAATGTTAAAGAGCCAAAAGAAATTAGTTGATATATAAGACATATAGAAAAATGCAAACTTAAGTATAAAATCTGACAAATTTTTATAGTATGAGCATATGTATGTATATCCACACACAGTTCAAGAAACAGAACACTACTAAGCACAACATAAAAGACTCTGAAAAAAGAAATTAAAAATAGGGAACCCTTGTATTGTCTTCCAGTTACTACCCCTCCCCAATGTAACCTTATTTCTAACACTAAGATTATACTTGTCAGTTTTGAACTTTATGTAAATGCTATCCTATTCAAATGCTTTTGTATCCTAAGAAGAATTGTATATAATGGTCAATAAAGATTAATAGTAAAGGAAAAACAGGTATAAAGTATTGATCTATGCCAATACTTTGGGTTTTGTGTCTACTTATAAAAATTAAGGTAACATTCATACAAAGTCTTTGCTTTTGGAAACTGGCTTTGGTGTTTAAATTTTGACTATCTAAAAATGCTGGAAGAAGAGTTTTCTCCTCTATTTGCTACTTGTTAATTCTGTGACCTCACACTTAAGCACCAGCTTCCTTCAAACTGTAAGATGGAAATAATATTACCTGTTCTACCTAATAAAAATGTGAGACTAGGAGTCAAGATGGCAGTGTGGGAAGATGCCAAGTTAGCATCGCCCCACAACTAGGGTGCCTGCCGGCCACTGGTGGGGGACCCTGACGCCCAAGGAGGTGGCAGGAACCCCCAAATGAACTGGTAGGACATGGGGGAACTCGGGGGGAGGAGAAGTGGAGGCCAGACAGGATAGGCGCCCCTGAGGCCAGGGAGATCAGGAGAGGCAGGCAGGAGGGGCCCTCCAGGAGGAGCGGGAAAGGAGCAGAGGGCGAGGCCCACTCTGGCCCAGGGAGCCTGCTGAGCTCCCGGGCCGGTAGCCCCCCAACCAATGCCTGCTTCAGGCCACGTGGGTCCTAGAGGCATAGGAGGGAGGCTGGGGAGAGCAGGATAGGCAGGTGGGAGGGGCTCTCTGGGAGTAGTGGGAGAGGAGCAGAGGGTGTTTGCCCCACCCATGCAGGCACAGGGAGCCTGCTGAGCTCCCAGGCTGGACCCTGCTCTCCAAAGCCCCCTCCAGGCTGTGGGGGCACAGGAGGGAGGCTGGGGAGATGAGGCGAGGCAGGCGGGAGGGGCCCTCCAGGAGGAGTGGGAGGGGAGCAGAGGGAGTTTGCCCCTCCCAATCAGGCTCAGGGAGCCTGCTGGGCTCCCAGGTGAGGCCCCTGCCCTCTGAGACCAGGGGTGGGGGGTACGCCTGGGTCCCTCCTGGTCCCTTGAGCCTAAGCCCCACCCCCCACCCCCCACAGCCCTGAGGGCCTTTTCCGGCCCTGTGGGTCCTGAGCACAGGCCCCACCCACCGCCCAAACCTTGCCCTTGCTTAGGCCCCGTCCTCCACAGCCAAGGCCTCCACCCCTGCCTTTTTTACCCCCCCTTTTCCCTCTGCCTCCTTTTTACAATTGTACTGTTGTACCTTCCAGTTGTTGATTCATCTGTATTTTTATTTTTATATTCTTTCTAACATATCTGTTAGCTTCCTAGTCTAATTTTACCTTTTACTTTGTTATTGTTCTCTCTCTCTTTTTTTTTTTGCCACCCTATTTGGCTTGCAGGATCTTGGTTCACGAGCCAGGGGTCGGGCTGAAGCTCCTGTGGTGGGAGTTCCTTGACGGAACCACTGGACTGACAGAGAACCTCAGACCCCAGCGAATATTCATTGGAGTGAGGTCTCACGAGTTCCTCATCTCAGCACCAAGACCCAGCTCTACCCAACAGCCTACAAACTCCAGTGTTGGAAGCCTCAGGCCAAACAACCAGTAAGACAGGAACACAATCCCGCTCATTAAAGAAAGAAAAAAAAAAAGAGGGAGAGAGAGAGATGGCAAAAACATATGTCACAGACGAAAGAGCAAGGTAAAAACCTACAAGACCAAATAAATGAAGAGGAAATAGGCAATTTACCTGAAAAAGAATTCAGAGTAATGATAGTAAAGATGATCCAGAAGCTCAGAACCAGAATGGAGGCATGGATTGAGAAAATACAAGAAATGTTTAACAAAGATCTAGAAGGACTAAAGAACAAACAAACAGAGATGAACAACACAATAACTGAAATGAAAAATACACTAGAAGGAATCAGTAACAGAATAAGTGAGACAGAAGAACAAATAGGTGAGCTGGAAGACAAAATGGTGGAAATAACTGCCAAGGAGCAGAATAAAGAAAAAAGAATGAAAAGAATTGAAGACAATCTCAGAAACCTCTGGAACAACAGAGGTCCCAGAAGAGGAAGAGAAAAAGAAAGGGTCTGAGAAAATATTTGAAGAGATTATAGTCAAAAATTTCCCTAACGTGGGAAAGGAAACAGTCACCCAAGTCCAGGAAGCAAAGAGAATTTCATACAGGATAAACACTAGGAATAACACACCAAGACACATAAATACTAATCAAAGTAACAAAAATTAAATTCAAAGAAAAAATATTAAAAGCAGCAAGGGAAAAACAAAAAATAACATAAAAAGGAATCCCCATAAGGTTACCAGCTGATTTTTCAGCAAAAACTCTGCAGGCCAGAAGGGAGTGGCAGGATATACTTAAAGTGATGAAAGAGAAAAACCTACAACCAAGATTACTCTACCCAGCAAGAATCTCAGTCAGATTCGATGGAGAAATCAAAAGCTTTTGAGACAAACAAAAGCTAAGAGAATTCAGCACCACCAAACCAGCTTTACAACAAATGCTAAAGAAACTTCTCTAGGCGGAAAACACAAGAGAAGAAAAAGACCCACAAAAACAAACACAAAACAATTAAGAAAATGGTAATAGGAACATACATACTGATAATAACCTTGAATGTAAATGGATTAAATGCCCCAACCAAAAGACACAGACCGGCTGAAAAGATACCAAAACAAGACCCATATATATGCTGTCTACAAGAGACCCACTTCAGACCTAGGGACACATACAGACTGAAAGGGAAGGGATGGAAAAAGATATCCATGCAAATGGAAACCGGAAGACAGCTGGAGTACCAATACTTGTGTCTGATAAAACAGACTTTAAAATAAAGACTGTTACAAGAGATAAGGAGGGACACTACATAATGATCAAAGGATCAATCCAAGAAAAAGACATAACAATTATAAATGTTTATGGGGCTTCCCTGGTGGCACAGTGGTTAAGAATCCGCCTACCAATGCAGGGGACATGGGTTCAAGCCCTGGCCCGGGAAGATCTCACATGCCGCGGAGCAACTAAGCCCGTGCGCCACAACTACTGAGCCTGCGCTCTAGACCCCGCGAGCCACAACTACTGAGCCCACGTGCCTAGAGCCCATGCTCCGCAGCAAGAGAAGCCACCGCACCACAACGCACACCACAATGAAGAGCAGCCCCCACTCGCTGCAACTAGAGAAAATCCCGGGTCCCAAGAGAGACCCAATGCAGCCAAAAATAAAATAAATAAATTAAAAAAAAAACGACCTTTCACTTTATAAAAGAAAAGAAGATGTGACACATATATACAATGGAATATTACTCAGCCATAAAAAGAAACAAAATCGAGTTATTTGTAGTGAGGTGGATGCACCCAGAGTCTGTCAATAGAGTGAAGTAAGTCAGAAAGAGAAAAACATACCGTATGCTAATGCATATATATGGAATCTAGAAAAAAAAATGGTACAGATGAACCTAGTTGCAGGGCAGGAATACAGATGTAGACATAGAGAATGGACTTAAGGACACAGGGTGGGAGGGGGAGGCTGGGGTGAAGTGAGAGTAGCATTGACAATATATACACTACCAAATGTAAAACGCATAGTGGGAAGCAGCAGCATAGCACAGGGAGATCAGCTCGCTGCTTTGAGATGACCTGGAGGGGTGGGATAGGGAGGATGGGAGGGAGGCTCAAGAGGGAGGGGATATGGGGACATATGTATGCATATGGCTGATTCACTTTGGTGTACAACAGAAACTAACATAGTATTGTGAAGCAATTATACTCCAATAAAGATCTATTAAAAAAAATTAACAGGGAAAAATATACTGTGTAAAAAAAAAAAGTGAGAATACTTTATAACCATTGCAATCCATTACTACGATTTACATTAAATATTTTCAAAAAGTGAATTCTTACCTGATAGGAAAAATAGCAGCAGTTTACTTGTAATGATAGTCACCTATTTTTAGACTATAGCTTATGGACATAAGTACAAAAGGGCACAAAACAGCCCTAAGCTACAGAGTCCATGTACTAGAGTTCTTGTATTTATATAGTGTAAAATGTTCCAGCCTTTAAACAGAGTTTATTTTCTTTTATTATAGAGATATTTCATTTCTATCTATCAATAAATATTTACTGAGTTCTATTTATGTGCCATTTATTGATTTGGGTACTGGAGATAGAACAGTGAACTGTTCTTCTATTCTAGTTGCGGGAGACATACAAGAAACAAACTAAGGGGAAAAAATAGCATGTTTGAAGATAAAAAGCATAGAGGAAAATAAAGCAGAGAAGGGGGATCAGCAGTGTGGGGAGAGACTGAAATTTTAAATAGGGTGAAAAGTGAAGGTCTCACTGACAAGGTGTCTATGTTTCCAGGGCATAGCAGACTAGAAATACTGATAAAGTACAACTGGTGCCTACTGACAATAGCAAGAAAAAAGAATATGAGAAAAGATTTAAAGAAATTTAAAAAAGCAGACACAAGAACTGTGCCTGGAGGATTGCATATGAAAAAACAACCCATATGATCTGACACATCCCTAGGCATTATTACTATAATTACAGCATTGCTTAGAAAATATGGCATTCAAACCTGACTCATTAGGCAAATTAATAGACTAGGGCATTTTCACTATAGGCCCCAACCCACAGCTACTAAAATGAGAAGTTCTGGGGAATGACTACTGAAAGTGTGATCACCTGGGAGCCTGCTAGAAATGCAGAATATCAAGAGCTGCTCATCCTAGAGCTACTGAATCAGAATCTGTGTTTTATCAAGATCCCCCAGTGATTCATTTGCAAAGTTCAAGAAGTACTGCTCTGAGGGTGGAATCCAGAATGCATGTTTTTTAAAAAGCTCCTCCAGTAATTTTGATAATTAGCTGAGTATGGGCACCACTGTCAATAAGAAAACTAGGAACACTTTTAATGATGACCCTGCATTAAAAAGAAAAGTTTAAATTATACTCAGAATGTTATGTTCATTTTTTAGTTTTTTCTCCTTCTTTTCTTTATTACCCTAATAACATTATAACACTGAAAAGGGAAAAAAAAAGTCACTCATAACTGCTCCTTCTTGACTCATTAACAGGTTTAATAAAAAAGTCCTGTCTTACCTATATGTACATACATTTTAAAAATGTTGTAATCAAATAATAGACTACAACTTTGTATGTGTATCTTCAGTTTGCAAAGTAAGGGAAGAATGTGTAAAACATTTTAGAGAGCTCTGCATACAAATGGGTTCAAATAAAATTTGAGGGCTTAAAGCTATAAACTTTTGTTAAGTGGAAAACTCATTTCAAAAACCATACTGGACAAATAGACTTTACATTGAAAGACAATTAAAAAGAAATGCAGGCTTTGTATCCTCAGCTGAATATCATTAACCTTTCAAAATATCAAACTCTTGGCTCTGAGCCTTACATTTTTTCTTAAAGAGTCATCTAGTGGTGATTTTCCAGACCGAATTCATAGCTCTTGAGCATGTGATAAGAGAATTCAAGTAATAATAGCTAAGTATTATTAAGCATTAATAATAGCTAGGCATTATTAGGAGTTTATATGTATTAACTCAGTTAATTCTTTTGAGGACTATATGAGGACAATTTTATTCTTATTTTACCAATCAGGAAATGGAGGCATGGAAAGGTTAACTATCTCACCTAAGGTTTTAAGTACTGAAAGAGGGATGGGGGAAAATGACGTGAGAGATCAGTTCTTAACTTACTCTGCTATTAGTTCAAACAAGAGAGCACTGTGTTAGGAAAGCAACATCATTTTAATAAAAAGGCAAATATGTGAAAAATAAAATTGTAAGTTAAAAAAAGGAATAAAATCAACCCATTTTCTATTGCATCAAGATAGGGAATCAAAACAGATAAAACAGTTAAGCCTACACAGGTTACTGCTTTTTAAAATCAAGACATAAAAAAAGGATAGTTTAAGTGGGATTTCAAAAATACTTAGTAACTGAATGAGTTTATTAGTGGGAAACAAAAGTGAAATAAATATAATTTTTATGTTCTATAAAAAAAGATGAACTGTATCTTTTAAAGAACTTAGAATAGGAAAGAATAGGGAATTAACCTTATTTCTCAAACACAAACTTTCTATTGACTAGACTCAGAAAATATTAATTCTTAAAATTAGGAACACTACAAGGACATAAAATTTAAATGCTATGGCTTTAGGGACTTCCCTGGTGTTCCAGTGGTTAAGACTCCATGCTCCCAATGCAAGGGGCATGGGTTCGATCCCTGGTCGGGGAACTAAGATCCCACATGCCACAGGCTGCGGCCAAAAGAAAAAAGATGTGCATTTATATTTATTTAGACAAACTTAATGGACACTGGAAAAGGCTGGAATATTTTTTTAAATTACAGAATATTTTGACATAATTTAGAATCACTGAGTATATGTTTTATTTGATTGAAATACAAATAAATTATTTGTAGGATAACATATAGTTCATTTAACTTCAAATCTCATCAGTAATCCTCGTTATTAAAAATTAGTACCTTGCACTTTTCAACTTCTTCTTCAATTTTCTCAACAATAGCTGCATCCAGAATTTGTAAATCACAAGAAGAACGAGACAAAGTACTGACAGGATGTCCCTTTAGCCAAGTAATAATTTCTTGAACTTTCTCAGCACTATATTAAAAACAATAATTTTTTCACATTAATTGAAACTTTCTGAGGGTTTATATAAAAGGCCTGATATGAACTTTCTGAGGGCTGTGAATTATAAAAGATATCAAATATATAATTAGTCACACGACTTAATTGGGGCTAATTATGAATCCAATATAAACATGGACATGTTATTTCTCAGTAATTATAAAAAAACACAAAAATTAGTTTAAAAGTACTTTACTGATATAAATGAAATAAAAAATTATATTAAGATCTTAAAGCAAGAAAAAAACAATACAAAACCCTCCCCCCAAGAGTAATATAAATTCTTGATTAACTACTACCCTTCAGTAGAACCACTAAGTTGAACTATGCGGCAATAAATCTCATAAATTTTGCTTACCCATTCTCATTTTCTCCAGGCCAAATGTCGTCTTCATAGAACACATCCTCTTGGCTATTTTTGGCTATATAACTAAACAGTTCTGGAGCTCTAGCCGAACAAACAAACAAACAAAAATACTGCTTTTAAAAATACGGCTAATTTCATATAAACTTCCTATCAAATTTCTGGATCCCAAGGGGATATATTAAATATACTGAGGGGCTTCCCTGGTGGCGCAGTGGTTGAGAATCTGCCTGCCAATGCAGACGACACAGGTTCGAGCCCTGGTCTGGGAAGATCCCACATGCCATGGAGCAACTGGGCCCGTGAGCCACAATTACTGAGCCTGCGCGTCTGGAGCCTGTGCTCCGCAACAACAGAGGCCGCGATAGTGAGAGGCCTGCGCACCGCGATGAAGAGTGACCCCCACTTGCCACAACTAGAGAAAGCCCATGCACAGAAATGAAGACCCAACACAGCCATAAATAAATAAATAAATAAATACATTGTGTATTATTTATAAAAAAAAAATACATATACTGAGGACTAATTATGTACACATATAAGGGATAGAGACCAAAAGATTGAAAGTATTCATAGGTCCTCAAAAAAAGATAAGGGAGAAATGATTCAATTCTTAAGTATAATTAAACTATGATTTTTAAAATTGAAATTTTTATAATTGAAACTACGATGATTCAATTACTGACTCTATCCCTCATAGACTATAATGACAGGTGATAAATGGACAAAAATAATGTATACAGGTTCATTTTCTAGTTTTCACAATAAAGCTAGAGCACTCCACAAAAGAGCAAATGAAAATCCATTAAAAGTTTCTTCTGATATTCCTCAAAATTCCATTGTTCTCTAACAGTGTACTGTAGTACTTTCAAATACACGTAGCAGACTGAACACATGTGCTTATTTCTTCTCCCTTCCCAGCCTGCTAAAAGAATAGTAAAGTAGAAAAAAGGGCATGGACCTATAAAGACAGATGAAGAGAGAAGCAGAGAATCTGATAGTACATGTTGAGTTAACAAAATTTTAGAAACTGAAAACTGAATAGATACGTTATGAACTGACTTGACAGACAGGAATAAGCTGTACCCTAAGTCACCAGAGTGGGAAGTCAACAAGAAGCAAGTTGATGTGAACTGTGGAAGTCTTCAAAAGCTCAGGAGATATGGGCTCTGTACATTTTGATGCTGCAGTATGGGGTGGGTTTAACAGGCTTTTAGTTGAAAATTTTGTATAATAAGCAGTTAGGCAGTCACCTCCACCTCAGCGTAAATCCTGCAGTTTACTTTCAGAGAGGCTAAATAGGGGCTGCTCGAGCCTTGGGTAATCCAGGCACAGGAAACTGGATGGGTGGGGCATGAGGAAGAGAGGATAGGTGCCCTACTGAAAACAAGGGATCAGTGAAAATATTACTATACAACATGCCACTAGGAAGAAGGCTAGGAAGTATAACATCTTTAAGAAGCAGACTCTGAGATGGTGATAAACATGGAAGAAGTTTATTAGTGTGTTCTGTGGAAATAACACCTGTGGAAGGGAAAGAAGGAAGGGGAATTGGGCCCAGGGAGAAGTTGGGCTGTGGTTCAATCTTAATGAACTCCTTGGCCAGTAGCATAGAGATCTCAAAGTAGGATGGCTCCTCAGACTTATCCTGAACTGGGGCAATCAGGTTGGCTGAGCCTTTACATCTTCTTGTTGATGAGGTATTGGATGTGTGGCTGTTGTGGGAAGGGGACATAACTTTAGGTGAGGCAGTTCTCTTCTGTTGGGCAATTCCTGAAGAGGGCTCACTGTTGAGGGCTGTGAGACAGCAGCATTCGTGCTGCCCAGGGAATAGGTCCTGAGTCGTGAAGAGACATCTGGGTGTGTGTACCACAGTATCCACTATGTAATGAGACCCCCTTTCTCTGGTTAATTCCCAGAACACTGGAAGTCAGTTTTGTTCTCTATATCTGTCCTCCAAGAAAAAGGCTGCAGAATACCTTTCTGGGAAAAATACCCAGCTCAAGAGAAAAGATATACATATAGGTAGTGATATTTGGAGATGCTCTGCTGAAACAGCCAAGTCCCACCAGAGAAGCCTCACTGAAGCACATTAAATTTCCAGTCAGCTTTTTTTTTTTTTTTTTTGTGGTACGTGGGTCTCTCACTGTTGTGGCCTCTCTCGTTGTGGAGCACAGGCTCCGGACGTGCAGGCTCAGCGGCCATGGCTCACGGGCCCAGCCGCTCCACGGCATGTGGGATCTTCACAGCCCGGGGCATGACCCCGCATCCCCTGCATCGGCAGGCAGACTCTCAACCACTGCGCCACCAGGGAAGCCCATCCAGTCAGCTCTTTAATCACTGAATAGTAAATATGGTAAGACACTAAAGAACCATGAGACCAAAAAAAAAAAAAAAAACTTTAACATGAAAGGAGAGATCAAATCAAACAGAAAAGGAAAAAAAAAAAGCAATTTGTAGTAAACAGAAAATATTAAAAATAGAAGAAAATCTAGATTACTATCTTCAGAGAAATAAGATATTTCATTCATTATAAGAACAAGATGCTACAAAAAAAGGAATGCCAGAGAAAAAGGAAACACTTCTAGAAATTAAAAATGATTAAATAAAAATAAAAAATAAGTTAAAGCTGAAGAAATCTCCCACAGAGTAGAACAGGAGTATAATACAGAAAACAGATGAAAAGAGATAAGAAAATTAGGAGAATTAATCCAGAAGGTCTAACATCTATCAAAAGGAGTCCTAGGGCTTCCATGGTGGTGCAGTGGTTGAGAGTCCGCCTGCCGATGCAGGGGACGCGGGTTCGTGCCTCGGTCCGGGAAGATCCCACATGCCGCAGAGCGGCTGGGCCCGTGGGCCATGGCCGCTGAGCCTGCGCGTCCGGAGCCTGTGCTCTGCAATGGGAGAGGCCACAACAGTGAGAAGCCTGCGTACCGCAAAAAAAAAAAAGAAAAAAAAGAAAAAAGAGTCCTAGAAAGAGAGAATGACAACAACAACAAAATGGTGAGGAGGAAATTATCAAAGAAATAATACAAGAAAATTTCTCAGAATGGAAGGGCATCAGTTTCAAGTTTGAAAGGGCTGAACAGCAAAATGAAAGAAAAAAGACCCATTCCAAGGCACACATCTTCACATTATTAAATAGTATTGGTAAAGGGAAGATTCTAAAAAGGTTTCAGAAAATGAAAAACAGATCATGCACAAAGATTAAGAATCAGAGTAACACAAGACTTCTTGACAGCAAAGGAAACATGAGAATGCAGCAGCGCTTTTCAAATTCTGAAGGAAAATAATCTGCAATCTAGGATTCTAGACCCAGGTGAGCTATCAACCAAGTATCAGGGAGGTTTAAAGAAATTTCCAGACATGTAAGCTTTCTCAGGAAGCCACTGGCATAAGTGCTCCATCAAAATGGAGACATAAATCAGAAGGAATAAAGCATGAAAGCCAGGAAATAAAGGAATCCTATGCATAAGAATGGTGAAGGAAATTCCTAGGACGATAGTAAAGAGAAACTTGAATGAAAGCTGTACAACAGCCCAGGAGAGCAATTAGTTCACACTGAAGCAGGAAGAAAGACAGTTTTAAGAGGAAGTATACAAGAAGAAAATGGAACTGAGAGGTCACATGACCTGTTTGACTGTATTAAGTTTTCCAGCTATGGCACAGAGTTTGGGGCCACATTGGTTATGTGAACATAGATAAGAAACAAATGAATAAACAACACAGAAAAGAACAAAACTGTGTACAAGAAAGGAAATGCAATACTCTACAAGATCCAGAGGTGACCATTTACATTTACCTTAATCGACTAAACCTTAAGAACAGATTTAATTTAAAAAATTGTGATAAAACTATAATGAGAGGGGAAATGTGTTCATGTGTGTAGGAAGGTAAGGGAATGGGGAGTGGGGCTGGTAAAAGAAAGCTAAAACTTCATCATTCATGGTATGAAATCAATGCATATGTCAAGTTGAAAAATCAAGAAAAAGCAGTCTAAATATGACATTTTTAAGGAAACATGGAGGTAAATAGAAGAAATTATCTAAATTTTTAGATGGTAATATGCAGTTGAAATGTGTCTCCCCCACCCCCACCCCAACATAAAACATAACTGAAGTCCCAACTCCTAGTACCTCAGAATCTGACTTTATTTTGAAATAGGATTTTAAAAGAAGTAAGCAAACTAAAATGTCATTAGGATAGGCCCTAATCCAATATGACTGGTGTCCTTATAAAAAGGGGAAATTTGGACACAGAGACAGAAACAAAGGAAAGATGATATGCAGCAAAGGAAACCATAAACAAAACGAAAAGACAACCCTTAGAATGGGAGAAAATATTTTCAAATGAAGCGACTGACAAGGGATTAATCTCCAAAATACACCAACAGTTCATACAGCTCTATGTCAAAAAAATAAGCAACCCAATCAAAAAATGGGCAGATCTAAATAGACATTTTTCCAAAGAAGACATAAAGATGGCCAAAAAGCACATGAAAAGATGCTCAAATTGCTAATTATCAGAGAAACGTAAATCAAAACTAGAATGAGGTATTACCTCACATGGGTCAGAATGGCCATCAGCAAAAATTCCACAAACAGTAAACACTGGACAGGGTGTGGAGAAAAGGGAACCCTCTTACACTGTTGGTGGGAATGTAAATTGGAACAACAACTATGGAGAAGAGTATAGAGGTTCCTTAAAAAACTAAAAATAGAACTACCATATGACCCAGCAATCCCACTCCTGGGCATATATCTGGAGAAAACCATAATCTGAAAAGACACATACACCCCAATGTTCACTGCAGTACTATTATTTACAATAGCCAAGACATGGAAGTAACCTAAATGTCCATCAACAGAGAAATGGATAAAGAAGATGTGGTATGTATGTACAATCGAATATTACTCAGCTATAAAAAAGAATGAAATAATGCCATTTGCAGCAACATGGATGGACCTAGAGATTATCATACTAAGTAAAGCAAGTCAGACAAAGACAAATATATGATATCACTCATATGTGGAATCTAATTTTTAAAAAAATGATACAAATATACTTATTTACAAAACAGAAACAGACTTACAGGTATACAAAACAAACTTACGGTTACCAAAGGGGAAACGTGGCAGGGAGGGATAAATCAGGAGCTTGGGATGAACATACACACACTACTTATATAAGATACATAACCAACAAGGACATACTGTATAGCACAGGGAACTCTATTCAATATTCTGTGATATTGAACTCTATTCAATATTCTGTGATAACCTGTAAGAGAAAATAATCTAAAAATGAATGAATATATGTATATGTATAACTGAATAACTTTGCTGTACACCTGAAACTAACACAACATTGTAAATCAACTATACTCCAATAAAATTCAAATTAAAAAAAAATGATATGAAGACACATAAGGAGAAAACCACATGAAGATGGAAGACTGGGGTGATGCATCTATAGGCTAAGGAACAAAGCTCGTGAGGCTACAGGAAGCTAGGAGTCAGGTATGGAACAGGTCCTTCCCTAGCACCTTCAGGGGAGGCATGGCCCTATCAACATCTTAATTTTGGACTCTGGTGTTCAGAACTGTGAGACAATAAATTTCTGTCGTTTTAAGCCAACCAGTTTGCGGTATTTTGTTAAGGCAGCTCTAGGAAACTAATACAGGGATCCTCAAATATAAGAAGGTTAGAAACCAGTGGAACAATGGACAGAACATTCAATTGCTAATCAGAAGTAGAGCATGTCCTATGAATCGTTGACACTAATTCAGTAAATCTTGGTACTCAGATTTCTCATTTTTATAACGAGGAGCTGAGACTTGTTGATTTCTAAGACTATTTCAGCAATTAAATTCAGTGATTCTAGGATAGTAATCTATTGTCCAGCTGGAGTTTTAAGAAAATTCATTATGCCAAGAGTTGTTTTGTTTATCCATACCAATCCTCTTACTACTGACACAGACATGCAGAGTAGTGAATAACTTACGATAGTTAAGGAAATTTTTAATTAAAAGGAGGCCAATTCTCATCATCCTTTTTAATTTTGAATAATATAAATACAGTATCTTTCTACTCTATTGTAACTAGTGGCTATGATGCTTCATGACACTAAATTAAGTTTATATTAACATATGTCACATTTTACTAAAGGAAACATTTTTCTTATCAGCAAGGCAAAATAGTTATCACATTCCTACGTTTTTGGATGCCTAGCAGGATCTTGCTAGGCACTTACCTCTCCAAGTACTCTGCAAGAAGTTGTTCTGCTGCAGATGAATACATCCATTCACTTCCAACTTTCTTAGTATATCCAGGTACCTCCTCATTTTTTTTGTTGAATTTGAGATTCAAACCCACATTTGCTTTATGGTCTCCATGAGGGCTGAATTTAAACCACACACACACATACACACAAAAGTTTTAAAATTTTGTTCAAAGAATAAAAAGCTTTGCTTTCAATTTTTAGAAAAGTTTAGTCTTGATTGGTTTTCTACATTTTAGTTATCATGGTTATTTCCAAAGTAGCAGTAGTGGAAAAACTAGAGGAAAGGCTTCAAAACCCAAGTCAACAAAGCATACAAATAGATTATGTAATTGAGAGGAGAATGAAATAAGGAAATGTAGGGAA